TTCTCGACTTGCACTCACAGTTAATCATTTATTTAATGGAACCGTTTGGATCCGAGAATGTCATTTTTATTGGACTATTTTAAATGTGCGAGTGAAGGCCTGCATCTACCACTGTCCCTTTTCTCCTTATGTCTGCAGATTCCTCACATACGGTCTCTTTCCATTATTCAAAAGAAATATCTAATATTCATACCTAAATGAAAGCTGTTCTATAATGTAGTGTGAAAGAGGGGGAAGATGGGAGCAAGGGACAAGGAGGTGGGGGTGGGGATGGGGGGGTGGGGGTGCTGAAGGTTGGGAAGGACCGAGAAATGATGATGTGTGTGTGTGTGTGTGGATGTGTTCGAGTGAGTAACGAAAATAAGAGAAGAAAAGAAAACTGAGGAAGAATCAGTCAAAGGGAAAGTAAAAGATGGTGATGTAAAATTTTCACCCACACATTTATAAACAAACTCCACACATCTGAGATTCAGGCAGACGAGGCAATGAGAGGAGTTATAGAGCAAAAAAAAAAGTATTCCGTGGATGGAAAAGTTGAATGCTGAAATAAACCATCTACGTGTAACGCAGGGCAGCGCTGTCCCGCTCCATCGTGTCTTAGCTGTGGATCATATTCTCACAATTCTTTCCTACACGCCTCAATGACTTCATCAGGTCGCCTCCACCTCCTCATCATCTGTCTGTGTGTCGATTTTCCACGTCTGTCTGTGTCTCAACACCCCTTCTCTCTGTCTTAAGGCTCTCTTTTTCTGTCTCTGTGTGTTTGTTTCTCTCTTTTAATTCACTTCATTTGTCTCCCCCAACTCCGTCTGTCAAGCACCATCTTTCTCTGTCAAGTTCAACACCTTCTCAAATTGTCTGTTTGTCGTTTTAGTCAGTTCATCAACCCTGTCCGGGCTGATTAACTGTGATGAGCCTCCACCCTTAGTTATATCATCTTTGCTCTGTATTCTCTTGCCTATATTTCACTACAAAAATATTCCTGCCTCACTTTTTGATGGGACAACATGTTGTTAGGGCAGTAAAGTACAACAACACCTCATTTGAACACCAATTCAGCAACTATACTTCTCAGTCTATAATGTAAAAAAACAAGACAAAGTGTGTAAGGCTGTCAACTTAAAGTTGATGACTCAAGTCATGAGCTGAGAAAACTAGGAAAGTCGACATGCGTTATCTTTGTCATTAGCTACTTCACCATTATGTTATGAACTGGGCCTTTTATTTTCTAAAATAAAGCATGCAGTTATAGAGTTGGGTATCCAGAAGGCAGAGGTCTTCTGAATTAGTCTTAGAAAACAGCATTGGTTAGTCTTGACCAAGACCAGGAACAAAAAATCTTGCCACATTAGTGCCTTAATGTTCAAGATTTTTTAGTTTCTTTAAACTTGCACGGCCACTTTGGTGCAGCTAGAGAAGCTGTTACTACAAGATTAACATATTATCAGGATAATGTGTAAATATTGTGGGGGATGACATACAAAGGGTTAAGGTCAGATTAAAACCAATGGCTGCTGGGATGACCACTGGGATGACCACTATAACCTCTGTACATAACCCTATGCGAGCAACATTACCCCCTATAGGCTATCTGGCACACCGAGATATGGATTTGTTATTTTTGAACTGTTATCAGACAGCCTTCATACCTTTAGCAGACATTGAAGATCATAAGTATTTTTTCGGCATCCATAGTTTCAGATGATCAGGTCGTTGTTTCCATTGTGATTGAAGCTTTCTCCTCTCATTCATGATTCCTTAGCACTAGTTCTTTGTTTTTATGTCCACAGCCAAGTTGCTTACTTTTCCTATGTGTGGTTAAATTCACATTAGAGAAACCAGAACTGACAGTCCCTTATTCCTAAATACAGTATGCAGCATCAAAGAGCAGGAATAGTGGGAAATGACAAATGGGATATAAAATATATAAGAAGATAGAGGCAGACAGCAGAGAGATATAAAGACAGGGGTTTGAATAAAGGTTCTCAGATGTTTCCCTCCATCTTTTATGGTTTCATTTCCTGCTTTCCTGGGTAACAGCAGGGTGGTGATGGTCCTGATAAAAAAGACAAAAGAAAGCATCTTTTGCTGGGACAGGAACGATAAGAGAAATAGAGGAAAAGTCAATAAAAAGAAAGTCAAAAATTCATGTGGGTTACGAGTGAGAGAGTAGAGACTGATGGGATGTTAAAAATACAGCTGGAAACACAGAGTCAAGTTAAAATGGCCTCGTTATTTATACTGATGTGTATGTTTGTGAGTGTGGATGTTTTCATTTAAAATTAATGCAAGATGTAAAAAAAGATACAGAAGACAATTTTCTAACCTGTAAATCAAATAAATTGACACTTTGTATGTATGTGTTTGTGTATTTGTAAAGGAAAAGATGATGCGAAAACATTTTGGAGGAATTATGGCTCCAAATTCTCTCCGACTACGTCTCTCTCTCATTCTCTCTGTCTCTCTCTCTTTCTCTGACTGATCGGTCTTTCCCTAAAGGCTTTCTCTCTCTATTAACCTCACAACTTCACTCATAGTCTTAATTCTTTTCACTCTGTGTTTTCCTCATTGATCTTTTACTTTTGCTTAAAAAAAGGCTAAAATCTGTTGTTTACTGTTAATTTCTCACTTTTCTTACAAAAGCTCTAAAACAAGTCAGACATGGAATTGATTCACAAAAGGATAAATAGGTGGATGGATATATGGTTTTGTGACTGGGTTAGTAGCCTGTGTAATATGACTGGCTGCTTGTATGTGAGTGTGGTGCGTAGCAGGACGGGTTACCACAGCAACGACTCGGACAGGAAGCAGCCTTGAGAGATGTAGAAAAGGACAGAGTGAACACGAATGAAATGAAAAATACTAGGAAAAAGTCTAGTTTGATCAGTTTTTTCAATTCTTGTACATGTCTATTTCATGTGCGAGTTTGAATGATTAAAGAGCCTTTTATTAGGGGACACTATGCGCAATATAACAAATAGTCAAATATTTGTGGATGTCTTAATACATCCAACGCTGCACTGAGAAATCAATCTGAGATCACTCAGTAATGCGTCAGCTAAAATCTGCTGTTAAAGTAAAATAAGCTTAGGTTTAATGGATGTTTTCTACATTGTCATGCTAGTGGGATGTCTTTTTCGGAAGGTCCCAATACTTTGGTCTTAACTGCTTTATCGTTACATTTTGTTCTTTCTTTTTTTCTTCCCATGACTTTTCCACAAAGGGTCTCATCTAGCTAATTATTTTTCAATTACTAGTCTCAAAAAGTACATATAAATTGCTTGAATTAATCCCAGTTCTATAAGTATGTGCACTGCCACTCTAGAGGGCTCACACTTGCATTGTAATGCGATAAAGACACTCCAAACTGCTCCATGATGGATCCAAATAACTTGTTCTTCACATTAAGTCGCATTTTGCGCCAGCATTAGGTAACAATGGTGTTTACACAAATTCTTGCAGATGACACTTCCATTAGCCTCATCTTTACTTTGGTTGTATAGGATAGTAATCGAATAGCATGTTACAATGGTAAAATAAGATGTGGAACATGGTCTATATGATGTTTACATGCTGAGGAAAGCTTTTAGCCCAAAGCACTTCTATACCTAAGTACACACAAGACGCACTCTGCCATCCATGCATCCATCAGTAATGTTAACCCGCACATGTCTGAAAAATTTATAGCCATCCAATCTAAATCATTCCTTACATGGGATGTAAAAACGGATGTATCAATGCCCATATTTATGCCCAACCACCACCACCACCAATTTATACAGATGTATTTTTCTCACTGATGGCTTTTGTCCAGTTTGAAATAACTACCAAGCCAGATCTTAACATTGAGTATCATTTTCCTGTGCCAGAGGCAGTTAATGGACCAAACATTGGTAACTTGCATGGGTGAACCTGACAGAATACAGTTGTGTGTTGTTGTTGTTGCTCTGGTGGTCATTATCCATATTTTTCTTTAAGCATCTCCCTCTATTCCATTTTCCCAGCTGGACACACTTTCGGCAGATGGCTGTCCAACATGAGTCTGGTTCTGCTCGAGGTTTCAGCTTGTGAAAAGGAAAGTTTTTCTTACCACTTTAATTTAGCTAAATGTTGCTTAGTGCTGTTGGATTAATGTTAAGTATAATATAACAAGAAGTAAGGTATTTTATCTGCTCTTTTGTGAAATGTCTTTAGATAACATTTTGTAATAAATTGGCGCTATACAACTAAAACCTGATTGATTGAATGATTAATTGACAAATGTCTAGCTAGGCAATATGTGCCCAAAATCAGCATGTTTATTTAGTTTATGCTACGACTTCTCCACTCATTCCTGTCACAGCACTGTGTTCACTAAAGATGGATATAAACTGAAAAACCATTCATAACATGCACATACACATACACTGAAAGCCAAAGTAAAAACAAAATATAGTACAATTATCAGGCCACCTTAACCTTCATGTTGGTGAGTAATTTAATGTTAACACTAAAAAGAGAGACAGAAGAGTATAAAAGCATTGTGAAGAGGATTTTAGAGCCGGGATGGATAATGATCAAACAGAAAATGTCAGTTTAAAAATGTGTTTTGAGATGAGATTTAAAACTGTGTTGACATTTGATTGTCACAATAAATGACCTCTTCTGATCTGACTACTTAGATGTGTCTTTAAAGCACATTTGTGGATTCCACTGTGACCTGTGTGCTCAGTGTTATGTAGTTGAATCTGTGTTACAGCAGCAGAGCGGTGTCACTGTTCTGTCCAAACACCTTCTTTTTCACTTTTTTTCTTTTTGCTCTCTCTCTGTTTATACCGAGATATTTCCCTCTTAGTTACTCCAAAGAGTTATTTTCCCAATGTGACATATCTACTAATGCATAAGACAGTCCCCATTACACTCTACTGGTGATCAAACAAACAATATTTCCATATCATTCACAGACTTTACAGTCAAATAGCTGATGAAAAGCATTGTTGAAAAAGCACTGGAGGCAGCGATGCTAGAAACACTTTATTCATCAAGAACAACCAGCTGGTGTGTATAATAAAACAAAAGAACAAGACACAATAAATTATTGAAGTAAAGCATGAAGTTTTGTCAGGCATATTGTTCTGAACACAGCGAAGCAGGCCTTTGTTAAGACTAACACCAACAACTTTTGTCTGAGTACAAAGCAAGGCTGAATAAACCCAGTAACCCCCAGGAGCAGAAGTGAACACATCTCACTGAAACAATGACAATTTATCAAAGGTCCAAAATGTGGTTTTGATGTTAATTGAAGTGAATGACCCCCCCCTCCCAAAAAACAAAATCTGAAAACTAACAAAATCGGCTTTATAGGTGGGACATTGAAGTACATGTGGTTATAGTGAATAGAACTGGCAGGGAAAACATAACAGTGATGAGGAAAAAGAGGAATGTCACTTTGGAGCACGCAACAATGGAATGTGCTGATAACACGAACAAAACTGGCAGACACAGGATACACACACACACACACACACACACACACACACACACACACACACACACACACACACACACACACACGTCTTCTTACGGCAGCAGAATTCATAAAAAACTCTTACTGTATCTACACAATTTGCAGTAAAGTTTATACGTATTACTATAGTATCATCTGTGAAATTGTTTGTGCTTTATGATTATCGTTGTGTCTCAAAATGGAAAAACAGGGAATGATAGCAAAAGCTTGAAAGAAAATTGAGGGCTGCCATCTTTGACAGACAACAACAGCTCTACACGTGTGTGTGTGTGTGTGTGTGTGTGTGTGTGTGTGTGTGTGTGTGTGTGTGTGTGTGTGTGTGTGTGTGTTCATGTTTGGAAATTATAGGCATAAATCACATGGAATGTCATCACTGCACGAATTCACAATCTGCTAATATCTAAGAGTGCATTTTACTCTACGCACCTGTCAAATAACAGGCTTGACGTTATAGTACACACACCCACATGAAAGCGCTAGCGGCACAAAGCTGATCTGGTTTCACCGTGACGATGAAATCGTCTCAGTGTCCACTCGTTCTTTGTTTTGTCTGTCTTAAGAACAAAAGTAGTGTGTAAAATCCCATTTTCTCTGTGTAAATCCAGCCTGCAAGCCAGCCTGAGCGTGTGACGGGGAGACTCATGGGACGTGATGATGACGGGGAGATGACAGATGACAGTGTCTTTCATTTCTAACAGCTGGGTCATGTGTGTGGAGATGATAAGCAGTGAGTTTGAAATCTCCCTCTGTTGCTTTGATACACTTGCTACCTACACACGCACATGCACACACACACACACACACACACACACACACACTTTCATGCACAGTCACATGCTTGTATGTGCTGCCAGCTCTCACCCTTCACCCCTTATACAAAAGACTTCTTCCTGAACACGCACACACAAACATACCTGAGTATCAGTTGTATTTCATCAGAGACTAAAAACATCACCCTTATTCCTACAGATCTCTTTTAAGATGTAATGCTGTTGAAGACTTGCACAGAGTCATTCAGACTGAGCTTCATATAAGCATTTTCATGAGGAAAAAAACATGGTGACTAAGAATCAGGCATGCTGAATTCATGAACATGCTGATTGAAACCGCTGAAGTAGCTGCAATCTTTCATGTGCTGGATCCTGAAAGTGGGTCCTCTCGCCGCTCTCATCTAGGAGCGCTGGTAATCTACAAACAGTCGGCTTGATTGTCCCTTTTCTGTCAGCCGCCCGTGCTTCCCTAAAAGAACTCTCTCTCTCGCTTTCCGAGCGGAGTCTCCCACTTTCCCTTTTATGTATTTAGGGTGTAAGGATCACAGGTTTAATCCGTGTTCACAGAATCCCGGTTAGTAGTTGGAATTCCAGAAATGTTCCAAAAAATTTGGACTGATCGGGCTGCCTGGTCTGAAGATTCTTTGATGTGTTTGAGAGCCAGTGATGAAGAGCAAGGGAGAAAGAAAGAGAGAGGAAGACAGACTCAGTGAGCAAGAAAGAAAAAGAGCGGCAAGCGTATGGATGGAAGGAAAGCTGTGGAAATAAAGGGCATAAGAAACTACAGAGAATGTGGACCCGGAGTGATTGTGTGTGCAGTGACGGTTCAAGTCATTCGAGGCCTCAGGCAAAGATTAATATGAGGACCTTCCAAATTTTGCTAAGAGCAATTATAGCTGGAGAACAAAACATTTGGAGGCATCTATTTTCAGGTAACAACACAGAATTACAGAACAGAGACAAATGTTCAGTATTACTATAAATATATATGTGTTATATAAAGTAACACACACAGTATCACTCATTACCTCTTAAAAGAGTAACAACACAACATTATTGGTCAGCCCTCCTGCCTCAAATCATATTTTCTTATTGATTGTTTGCCATTTTACCAAAAAGTAATCCCTTAATTTATTTATTTGAAAAGTTTTATAGCCTTCAGGTCTACTTTACTACAATTTGTAATTTGGATATGAATACATTTTGGGGCTTTTTGAAGGGTTGAACCAACAGGGCACAGGGCTCCTTCCTAGAGATTGTTTTTGAGATTTTTGATTCCTTTTATGCATGAAAAAGCATGTTATGATCGCAATGTAGTGTCGTGATAATAAAACAATATCACCTACTACTATATGAAGAGAAACATGCATCTTATCAGTCGACATTTTCTTAACATACTACTATTTGTGGACCAATCAAAATATACTGAGTTTTTTTTCCCCACAGGATAATTATCCTTCCACATGTCACTTCTCCTCCTGTACTAACTAGTGTCGGGGCATACGTGTGAGAGATTAAGCGGTGAGAGAGAGAGAGTAAGAGGGAGAGAGGGAGTAGCAAAGTGATGCTGAATGAGAGGAAGAGAGGAAAAGAGGCAGCGAAGTAGACAGCCCTGCAGTAGATTTTTCATTTTACTTTATATTCCGAGCGAAATCAAAACATTCAGGTCTCACGCTTTTACCCCCTTGGAAGTTGGCATCTTGGGCCACAATATGTCGCACATACCTTGAGGTCCCTTGGTTCATGAGGCAATTGCCAGCCTTTGCCTAATGGTAAAACTGTCAACAGTTTGTGATGTGTGTTAGTGTGCAATTCAGAGCCAGTGGGTTGTGGTTAGCCTCTTAATTATGTCATGTTTATGATGATGTGTGCTGCTGCCCTGTTGGCCAGGTCACCCTTGGGATAAGGATCTTGATCTCAAAGGGTTAATTACCTGGTTAAATTACAGTACACAAATCCTGACTTCACATCAAGATAAAGTTTTACTTTGGCTTCCTCTCTCTTTCCTCTCCTCCCTTTCTCTCTCTCACTCTCTCCTTCTGTCTCACATTCGCTCATCTCATCACGCTCCTGGCAGTAGACGTGCCTGAAGTTTCTAGAAACAGTCTTATCACAACACAAAGACACTCAAACACAAGAACATGAAATAGGAATAAAAAACAGTTCACAGAGTGGTTTGAGCAATTTCAAATCCATTTCATCAAGTTGGCACCCACACAAATATTACATTTCTGGAGAAAAAGAACACTTTATGATGCTCAATTGAATTAAATTGTTTGAGGAAGATTTAGACATCAAATTGCAGGAAACTTGAATAAAAAATGTGTCTGGCTGAAAACATTTACCCATTTAAAAATGGGCCTGTATAGATAGGAAGGTTCTTATAAGTGTTGTTGGTATGATGCAGGGTTGTAGTTTGTCTGTTGATAGACACTTTCTTCTTTGCTGCACATGTTGATGCGGTGCTTTTTTAATATTAAGTCTTTTGCAAAATCAAAAAGGGGATAACTTTTCCAACAGTTCCAGATACAAGTGTCGGTCTGAGTGTCTCAGCGAGGGGGCTGAGAGGGACACGCACACTCACACTTCTCATGGTGTGTGAGGAAGATCTCATCGATGACCCAGCGCACCTGCGGCCTCTGATGGCGCCGATACAGGGTGACCTCTGGGGAATATTTCAGCACCTAAAGGAGAGAGGGAATAACACAGAGAGGATGAAGTAAGTATGATTCATTGTTGCCGACACTGTCTCTAGGTGCCAGCTCATTGGCACCTAGAAGAGAGGGAGGGACACATCTCCATCAATACATTCAGACGAGATGGAACAGCTCCTTCTATATGATCAAAAGTTCAATTCTTACACTTCAGTTTAAAAGATTTAACTTAAAAACCTGACAATTGATTCAGATACATTTCTTTGGAATAATTTGGATTTGTATGCATTTTCATTGGATACATTTTTTTGCTCTTATAACAAAAAATGTAATGCTAGGTTTACTACAGCTTTGTGTAACCTTACACATAATACCAACAACAACAATACAATTATTAAGCATGACTTTAAAAAGTATCGCTATCTGTACAAATGTATCAAAATAGTGTGTCCAAGACAGCTTACAAGGCTGTGTCACAGATTCCATTCAAATGGACATAAAGTTGACTAAAAGGTGAGACTAACTCAGTATTTTTTACTTGTACTTTTTCTTGTTTTTGTTTTGCAGATTACCATGCTGTGCAGAGGTAACACTTCTTGTGATGTGAAAATGGACAAATTGTTCCAAAAGTGATTCAGTGAATTTCTTTCTACTGAACTCAGCGGAAGCGAGGCTGCCGAAGATTTATGTGAGGACTTCCCGGCAATGAAACAATGCTGTGAATAATGAAGTGTTTCTTTAGAAGTTTAGTCAGTGGAGGAAGCAGTCACAAGTTAAGAATACCTGCACAGAAAGGAGGGGAAGGAGGGTGGAAAATATTCCATCAACACAAAAACACCCAGAGGGTGCCAACAACACGCTCATGAGAACTCACATGCAGGACGTATACATGCAAACACAGACACACCTCATTCATGCTCTCCTAGACACTGACATACACACACATAGAACAATTACAATCCAAATCCCACTTTTGTCTAAATTTCCATTGTATGATTTTTAAAAGAGAGAGAAACAGAGAGAGGGCCCTGCAGACCGTTTTTCAATAATGAAGCTATACAAGAACAAAGACACAAAGAGATGGAGGGAGAAGAGAGAGAGAAAAGAATGAATGACAGGCTTAAACAAGAATGGTGCATTGCGAAGGGATACATTGAAAATGGGAATTGGGAGGAATGGAAGAATGATGGAAGCCCACAGAGGGAAAGAAAGGGAAAGAGAGTGAAATGGAGAGAGAGAGAGAGAGAGAGAGAGAGAGAATACTAACAAAGAACTTAGAGATGTGGAGAGATTGGAAAGAGAAGACTGGGCAGACATGGAATAGGATGGAGGAGAGATGCAGGAGGTGAAGAGTGAGGCTGCTGGTGCATTGCTGCTTCATTGTTGATGCAGCACCTGGCTCTGCAGACCCCTCTCTCTCTCTCTCTCTCTCTCTCTCTCTCTCTCTCTCTCTCTCTCTTTCTACCTTACTCATTCATTTCATGTTCACTGTCTTTTTAAGTCCTTTCAAATACACACCATGTTCATACTGGAATGTATGGTGGTTGACAAGGGCAAATGCTGCAATGACCCTACACATTTCCTTTAGGAGAAACAAACTGCCAGTTTTAAGAAGACACAAATTCAAAACCCAAAGCAGGCCTTAAACATTCTGCAAACAAAAAAGGTGCTGCAGCTAATAAGTAAATAAAAATCTTTCTATAATAACCAAACAACGCTATAACAAACAATTAATTTCCAGTCATCACAACAGAAGCTGTTCAGACTTTTACAGTCTGTTTTTGTGGATGGACTTTTGTATTAGCAATTTATTCATTCTATTGCAAATCTTTATGAACATTGCAGCAGTTCTGGCCCATTTAGCCACCCTTCATATGAACATAAAATGTTATCTTTAAATTAACCTCTGCACTTTAATACTTCAAAACAACATGTGAAACATTAGAACACACTTAACCTAGATGAATACAACACAGCAGAACTGTCATTATACTTGGCTTTTTTTGCTGTAAGAAAACTTATTTTGGCCTTTATTAAAAGTTTCCCAAATGCAGGGAATTTTCCTGCAGGGAATCTCCTCCCTCTCAAACATTAAGCACTAAATGTCACGTGAGGTTTGAAAAAAAAAAAGTGCATTATACATAAGAGTAGTCAGTGTATGTGTGTGCTGCATGTCTTAGTGACGATATGGTTTAACACTGTATCTTATGATTTATCATTCTTGCCAGCAATGCTTTAAACTTCCTGTTTTTCCCTTGTCTTTTTTTTCCTGTTTTCTAAGACCACTTTCTTTCTTCCTTTAGATCAAGGAGAAATGGAAAAGGTTTTTTATCCTACTTTCACCGGTCATCCAGTGTGTCTTCATGTTGTAAGCCTTACCTCGTGTAGTTTGAGCGTTGACTTTGAGGCCTGACAGGTGCAGCCATTGTTCCAGTTGTTGGTCCCGCAGCCACAGTTTCCTCCACAGCGTTTGACCAGCAGACAGCGAGGGAAAAAGACGGCGTTGGTGGCTTTCAACTCCTCGCGCAGGTTTACAGAGTAGTTTCGAGGAGTGCAGCTGTAATGCTTGACGTCGTCGTACAGACGGTTCAGATCCACTGGACAGTTGGAAAGATAAGTTGAAAAAAAAAAAGGGTTGTTATTTGTATGGATTCATGTTTTTGTTTCCTAATTGCTGAAGTGTTTTTGGACTGCATTTTACAGAGTTCAATGTGCCAGGTCTATTTATGTTTTGACTTTTATGGGACATACTTTTTCATCCATTCCAACTTAGCTATTCATTTATTCATTTATCATGGAATACTGATATTACCTTTTCTTTATTTTAAGCGGTGGCATCTGCTTTTGCAGAACAGTCACATAAAGACATCACTTCCTTAGCTACTTATTGGACAGATAATATTCTTTTATAAGGACTAAGATAAAAAAACAAACATATGATTGGCTTTCTAAGAGAGAAAAAGCTGTTTTGTTTTATCATTGCGGGAGGGTTTAGTATTAGTATAGTGGCTTTGATTTACGCTAAGCATACCTAATGGTGATTGAAAAAAAAAAGATGGAGGGACTATAGAATATGAGTCCAAAAGCAACAACAACTGACTGTAGAGGAGGGATGGAGGGATGAGTGGATTATAATGGAGAGACACAAAGATGCAGAGACAGGGAGCTGAGGCCAGAAGAGGAAGCAAGGGCTTATAATTGATTGTAGATTGAAAGTATTGACTGCGTTCTTTGTTCATGTCATCACTCTGGTGAAAATTACCTTGTTTGTGCACAGTAGGCCTTTGTTCATTGGGTTGCTTCAATGGTTGAAAAACTAATTTCAGGAGAACCAAAGGGACTGTTGGGAAAGCTGATGGGAAATAAGGGATTAAAGCAATGGTCCATAGGGGAAAACCAGGAAAGCTGGAATCAGTAGCTTGATTAAAATCTGTCTGTATCTATTAATCTACTACTATTGGCATCAGAGACCACTGACTGACGTCAACTTCATTGTGACCCAGCACAAGAGAGCCTGAAGACAAATTGTAGCAGGTGAGCTTTTATTTTGTTAAGAGATTAAAAGATGTTTTTTGTGAATTTCTGAGGACATCAGTATGAACAAGAAGGACAAATGAAAGAGTGAAGGTGACAGAGAATTGTCCTCTGTGGAACATTTCTTTATCCTGCGAGCAAATCAGAGAGACCACAGGTGGTTGAAGGATGGAAATGAAGACAAGGAAAGTGATGACAGAGTAAAAAAATAGAAAGAAGCACCAACCACCTGCAGATTGATTGCTCTCTTCATCCGACATCACCAGTAGGATAATCATTACCTTACTGTCCCTACCAGTGATGGTAATTGCACCAGGCAATTGAAGAAGTGACCAGTTGATTTAAATACTCAGTAACTCCAATTACTAAAAAGAAATCAGTGTAAAATGTATTAAAACCATTAAATAGGAGCAAATAATTACTCTAATTATTTCACACGGCTGCAGTGCAGCTTAATCTGTTTGTAGTCACTGAAAAATAGAAAAGGCTATGCACTTGACACTGGCTCTACCAGTACAACACCAACAGTCGTTTTATTTGAAGCTGTGTTTTCCCCTGTAATAGCTGCCTGTAAATACTGATTTGATTTATTTAAATTCCACTCCGTCCCTGAGGACGAGAATATGAAATAAAAGACTGTTATTATTCCATTGTGACATTTAATGAAAAAATCGGAGCATTACGCTACTTAAAATAGTGTTAAAGGCTTTATATGCGATTTTTTGATCCAGCAGATGTCGCCCTTGAGCATGAAACCAAAACAACTCATGCTGCATTGTTGTGTTAGCATGCTAATGCTAGCGATCTTTATTATGCTCATATCTTCACACTGCATGTAAATTTACCCAAAATAACCGTGATCTAGAAACACAGTTAAGCAGTGAGTACAGTATGTTATTCTTCTTTTCTCTAGTCCCTCAATTAAACAACTTTTATACGTGAGGGGAGGAGTCGGCCTGCCATCCCGGCAATTAACAAACTGAAGATAGGACTTGAAAAACTCTGAAAGCGTCACAGACAGTGGGACTCAGATGTTACACCCATTGTAGACAGTCATGACTCACAGAGTTATTTTCAGAGGATATACTTGATTTCTATTACATTTAAGTGTGAAAAATCACATATAAAGCCTTTAAAGGATGTGAAAGGACATTAAATGTTCTCTCATAAGGAGGGCTGACTACATCTGATGAGTCAGTTGGAGAGGGTAACCAATGTTGCATTCTCCTACATCGTACAATGCGTAACTCAGGCTTACAGCACTTTGCAGTCCGATTTAAAAAAATAAAATAATAATAATTACAATTATCATGACTCACAGAGCCTCTTTACCCTTTCCTGTAAAGGATAAATCTATAGACAAAATTATGAAAAAAAATTAAGTTTATGCCGTGAATTGAGGTAAGAGAAGAGAGACAGGGCCGACAGTAGAGAGAGGCAGCCAACATGCAGCCTGTGTGAATACCATGTGTCAAGAGCTGCAGCCTTCACACGGCCAGTCTAGAGCAGGGCTAAGAGCAAAAAATAAACTGATGACAGACTTGAACAAACCTGTTGGTCATGCTTCTGTTAACTTTCCTTTCTGTTAAACTGTGATGGTTGAACTGAGCCTATGCACATGTGATACTGTATTCCACCAGGCAAAACGACTTAGTCAACAGTTTGAAAGGTGTATTGGCATCTGCTTACTGTTTAAAAGTGTCAGGTTCACCAATTGGTTTCTTCTGCACTATGAGTCAGACGTTGCCATATCAGGACATTACTAAACTGTATGATCGAGGTCTGAGCCTTTTTAAACCAGATAAGGTCTGCATTGGTATAAGTCATGCCTTTCACGTCCCACTGTAACGTCAAACTGTGGTTTTATTGTTATTTGTCATTTGATAATAAAAAATATAAAAAAATAGCTGTAACAAGAGTTTGATATACTCTATGGCCCCTTAGGAATCAGTTTTAATAGAGTGATGCATTGTGGGATTCAAGTCAAGAAACTCATGTACTCTATGTCACACAGTTGTTCCCGCATTTATGTGTTCCCTTCATTCAAAAACACGACACAAACAATACGTTCCAGGAAGCCCATACCCTGAGGAAGAATACATTCCCGGGCTAAAGACTGGGTCAGAGCAGCAGTTGAATCAGTTCTTACAGGAAGTCAACTCTTCTTCAACTGATACTGCCTTACAGCAATGAATACATTTATGTATTTTCTATCAGCTTGAAGGAGTGAAGAAATGAATCCCAAAGCTGTGTCAGCTGCCAGGAGACAAGCATTCCCCAAAAAAGACACCTACACTAGATGATCCAACAAAAGAGAAAAGATGGAGGTCCAGGTGAGACGACCAGCCGCTGAGCTTTAACATAAGTCAAAGGACCAAAAGAAAAATCAACATCATGTTTTATTTAAATGGAAATGAAGATAAGGTGAAAAAAGGAGGCGAAAAAGGGATTAGGTTTGAGAGATGAATTAATCAAAAGGGAAATAAACAGTATATCCATTCTACTTTAATTCTGCTGTTCACTTATAATAAACTCACTGACAGTGTATTCAACTTTAATAGAAGACAGACTAATAATTGCGACAAATACGATCTTTAATGATAAACCATTCATCTTTAATCAAGTTAGATCAATTTGTGTCTTAAAATCACTCTAAAGCCATGTTCCGATCTTTATTTCAAACTTGTTTGGTAGAATAGGCTGTCTTTTGTGCACACTACAATAGCCCCGTGATCAAAAATATTGGACATGCTTTAAATTGAAAATAAAAAAACAATATATTTGTAAAAGTCTACACAGCGAGATCTATTTAAAGCCCAAAATAGGGAGCAGAATCCAACACAAACCCAGGTACACAAATACATTGGTTGAAACGTTTTATCTCAGTTCCCAGGTGGTTCAACAAATACATTTGCAATAAAGATAAATTAAACTTTTTTGGGCACTGCTAGATTCTTCACTACAATGAAAATAAAAAAGGCTTTTACGATCCAATACACGAATGAAAGACCTGTCAAGATCAATATCCTCTGTGAACTAAAACAGTGTAGCAGAGTGAGATCGGCGTGCATTGACATGATTTTGAGCTTTGCTGCAGCAATGCAACGATAAAGAGCAGTCATAAAATAGAAATCCCCTCGAAATTGCATGTCCTTCATGATACTCTAACAATGACGAATTTGCTTGATGTGCAATAATGTGAGTGAGTAACAGAAAACAAAAGGAAGTGCTAAGGGTCAGGCGAAGCCTAATGGCATTGATAATCAATAAGCAATTGTTTCCCAACAGAAACCTTACTGTGGGGGTTATCATTGATGACACGGGGGGGGGGGAGAGGCCAATAAACAATAACAATAATAATAAAAGACTAAGAATAGAGCAGGAGACATGCGCATTAGCTTAGCAGAAAAAGTTATGCGAAGTAAAGGGTGCACTATTCAATGTTTTATCTTGATATTTGTAGACGTGTTTTAAATTGCTGAGCAAGATGACAAGAAAATAAGATATGTGTGTGTGACTGTGTCAGTGTGTCAGCTGAATGTGCTTCCTGTGCTTCTCAGCACAAACATTGAAAGTGGCACTTTCACTTTTTGGAAATGTCAATTCAAGAAAACTCTGCAATGAAAATATTATAATATAGTATCGTGTGGCCCAAGACCATCATAACAGGTTTATTGTTCAAATTCAAACGTTTATTTTAAAGCAACTTGTGTTAAAGCACATATGTGTCATACAATATCGTCAAAATGACGCATAGAGCAGTTTATTAATAATTGATTGTTCTTTTCCTTTTGCCATCAAATTCAATCATAACATATTCTATTTGGCCACAGGCGCAATTATAGCTGCATTAATAATCAATGCTGGTTTATGAAATAACTGATCATGCTTAAAGAATCATCTCTTCCTCTAGGATGACACTACACACCGCTAGAGTATTTTCTTCCTGCGTAACCTTTTGTCATCAAAAGTACAGGTGACAGAGAACCCATCATTTCTGAATTGACTGAAGGGCAAAAGGTCAGATTCTTTTTTTAGCGAGTGCTTTTTCATATTTGATGACAGAAACAGTCCAGATGGGCACATTCAACGCTGCTTCATAACATCACACATAGGCAACCAAAGGGATATGTGTTGGTGTGTGTGCAGGGGAAGGCTGCATTTTTAGACTGTATGACTGGAAACAGAGAGAGGTCCTGTTTGAGTGGCTAGGTGTGTACACTGAGAGTACATGGTGTGTGTGCATATTTGATGGACAGAGCTAGTTTTCCTTTTAAAAAGGAGTATCATCTCAAATAAGCACTGGTGTGAAATCCTGTCATGAAGCGTGAGAGACAAAAGACAACGACATGAAAAACTAAATCAGTCTATGTGGGAATGTGAAAATATTCTGATAAAAGTTCAACATAAGGCAAGAGGATTACATTTTTGGTATATGTATTACTGTAGTACTATGTGGACTCGTTTCAGTCACTTGAACTTAAAAGTGTCCCAATTAATATTACGATCAGGCTTACTGTCCTTCATGCTGCCAAAGGTGGGTGTGAGCTACAGAGTGTGTGTGTCTTAATGAAAACAAAGCTTAGCTGCTGACTGAGGCGGATTTCTGCACTGCTGCACAGGTTGAATTTCCAATTAGAGGGAGCTACGCTGGTACAGTATATCAAAGACCTGCAGCAGCACCTATGCACCTTTCTATAGTGTTGCAACATGCACATACTCCCCCATACACAGAGCTTTTTCATGCCAGCCCAGCACATGTGTTCACTGATAAATAGAGATTAATTTGCTGTCAAGCTCAAATATTTGAAACAGGAGAGCGCTCAGGTAGAAAGACAGAGAGAGTGGAGGCGAGATAGGTGAGAGAGACTCAGGTTTGTTGCAAGCGCGAATGCGTCTATAAATAAGAAACACACACCTCTTATTATGTGGCGTGTTTGTAATAAGCGCATATGTGTCAGAATTTCTTCTTAAGTGCAGGGTCTATTGCCTCAGCAACTCCAGGTTGACAGCACTTACTGCACGGTAAAAAAAATGCTCTGAACTGCTGGTCTATAGTGTCACCTTAACTCACTGACTCATGAGTAGACCCACTAGAGGGCAAACTGCTCATTTAATGATGCAGCGACTTAGTCCAAATGTGTTTTGTTGTTGCACCATTAGAAAGATAGGTCGTTTTCATTTTTCACAACGACCTATCATAAATACAGAAAGCTGCAAAAGTATGTACTTTTCTAGATAAATATGTTTTAGGTTTAGGAAGTAGTATGTCTCCCTCAAATGATCAGAATGTTGTTGGTAACATATTTCTTTCGGATTGTTAATGTTAAGAGGAAAGTAGTAGTGCATCGTCCTTTAAGCTCCAAAAAGTGAAAATGTTTTATACAGTGGAAACAAGGTATTATCTTGTGCACAAAATAAAATGACCTTGACATTATCAAGACAACATATAAAGTTTATCAACTATCTATCTTATCATTATCATGTTTATGACATAAAACTTGTGCACACAAGATGAATTTTACTTTTTGGGACTTCAGGGGCTCCGTAGAATAGGCATCTTTCTCTTTCTGGTTTGTAATGCCTAAGCAACACTCCTTGTCTGTGCTATATTTGATCATACAATGGGGCTTAATAACATAATTACAGCACTGATTAATAATTTGCTGCAAATTACATAGTCATAGACCTTGTCAACCCCAAAAGCTGCACCACTGGGTTTTCTGAAAAGCCCAATAAGTGAGAATTGGCCCCCTGCTGCGTGGGTATTTGTCGGTCAGCACAAGGCAGCACGCTCTCCCCTCCCCTCTATTACACCAGCTACCAATGACTGCACCAGTCTGCAGCAAAATATTGTGAACGCAGCACGGTCGTTGCAGCACAATGTAATGAACGTCAGAGCTCTCATCCCTCTGCATACCTTACAAACTCAACATGTAACTTCCTCTTGAGTCAAAGTCTTCATGATTTCAACCTCATTAAAATTAAAATATACTTTTAATTTCCTCATTAAAATAAAGAATGTATCTGTTTGGTATATGTTTCTGAATTCTAATAGAAAAATAACAACAATGTACAAAAATATAGAAATAAATGAGAATCTACTTGTCATATCAAATGTTTTTATAAAACAAACATGTTATTCTAAAGGATTAAAAGTTTTCTCCCTCTAACCAAGACATATTTAAAATTATTTTCATCTCTAATTACTTTGCATCTTTTTTTTTTTATCTATTCGCTAAAATGTCTCTGTTATGTCATTACAAACTGATCACTGAACTATCTGGCAACACAATACAGCTTTTTGTAATAGCTTTTTTAAATTATGCGTTCATATATATTTTATGCCATCTGTGCACACAGCCGAGTATTTAGTCACGCACAGGAGCCCTTGAATTTATGACTTTTAAATTGGTCTTGGTCTCAAGACCGGTCTTGACTCATTTTTGAAGGTCTTAGTCTGGTCTCTGAATTGAAAGGATTTTTACTCAGTCTTGTCTCGGTCTCGAACTGGGCAGACTCCAGGTTTAAAATCAAGACCAGTCAAGACCCCAGCTGATAGGCTATTTCTCCACACCATTACATTGATTAGAAGGAAAACTCCTCTTTCGAAAATAATGAATAACTTAATTTCATTCATAATTTCATTTTTATCCCCCAGTTACGGCCGCAACCTTCCAGGTGTTACGGTCTAAGTGAGTGACACGCCTGCTGCACATCAGACGATGAGTAGTCTTGGTATTGTCTCGGTCTTGCCCTGCCTTGGTCTTGGTCTTGACTTGATGTCAAATCCAAGACATACCTGAGACCATACCTGGTCTCAGCTATGTCTTGGTCTTGGGTTAGTGTGGTCTTGACTTCAACAATTCCATTTGGACCTAGAATAGTAGATTTATTTTGTAGATTTGTCAAAAATCTAGTGCTTGAGACACAAGGTTTTAAAATTTTGGGGCTCTTTATAGTTTTGAAGAACAGTAAATACCATCTTGAACAACTCATAGTCTTGAGGTGCAGTCCAACATCTCCCATGTACAGCAAACAAATCAAAGCAAAATTAAAGTGGTTATAGTTGTGCTGAAATCCGAGTCATACAGGGACAAATGTGTTTGGATTAATCTACATCTTTAACTTTAAGAAGACAATAATACTGATGTTTAAACTTTTAAAAAATGATGTTCATCTTACCTTTATTATGTCTGCTTGCCAGATGATAGGCCCTGGATCTATAATGTATGTGTGTTTGAGTATAGATGCTGTCCAGGTCCTGTCTCCAGGTGTCTGGACTCAGGGATTTGAAAAGCTGTTCCACGGTGTCAAAGGCTGCTATGGTCCGATCCAAATCATCCAATGAGAAAGGAACCTCTGTGACTGGCCTCTGCCCTGCACCACTGTCCTGCAAAGAGCAAAGGTCAAAAGGTAAAGACAAATCTCTACTATTGTGAGCCTTTTCCAACTTTTGTTGTTGTTAAGCAAGCAAGTCATGTTGAGCTATCGTAGTAAATCAGTTTGCTGTGCGTTTTTTATTTCACATTTGTTCCTATATGTTATCTTGTACTATGATGGGGAGGTCAGAACTGTTTCAATAAAGCAAAGAAAAGATATTCAAAGATTCACTGGAAAAAAAAAATCAGAGAAATCAACAGATAACCTCCACACTGCCACGAAGAAAGAACAGACATTAAGGCCACAGTCACCTCAGGTCATATTGACTCAGCATCCTCTTAACACATCCAGTCCTTTAAGAGATACCTACTAAACATTACAGACAGAGCTTTTAGTGAAGTGGAAAACAGATTTGCAAGGAGACATCTTGACCTGATCTTAGTCTGTGGCTTCCTCTTCAGTGTAGCCACATATTTGGCCTTCTCTTAAAACACATAATGAGCTGTTTTTTTTTAGCCTTTTGTTGTAGATACAGTGAACAAAGCATGAAACCACTGTGATAAGATGTTCCCTGCTATAACTGAAGCTAGGAGAAAAATTCAATCAAATTCTTAAAGCATGTAGGACTGTTATGTTTGTCACATTAACTGCCATAATAAGCCCTGACTAACAGTTGGGTCAAACGGATTGCGTCTTGTACCCACATCCTTTTTTCTCCTTGTCTGATCGGCAACCAAACTAGGCTATAGCAAAAAGTAATGGAGCCGTGTCCGCCATATAGCGGCCGTTAGTAAACAGACTGTTTTCATAGAGACAGGATGGACAGGGTTGGACACAAAACACTTAATATAAGCGCTCCCGAGCGCACAGCCAGCGCTTTTCTGCCCAGAAAATATGCTAGGTGGACACAGGGCTAAACACCACTGAGGCTTCACATTTGTTACCATTGACTGTAAAAGCTACCATACAATAATATAATAACAATATTTAAACATAATCACTCAAACCAGCCAACGTTGTCACATGAACAAACATGTAGTATGACAGCTAAACCAAATGTGGAACCTCCTCTAATTCACTATCAATAAAAATAATCCTGAAGTGTATTTGAATTGTTTCACACAAAAACAGTGATCCTCATGTATATATAAAAGCATGTATTTATGTATTGATGTAATTAAAAAAAAACAACTACCAAAAAATAAAGCAGATAGTGTTTTAGAGCACCATTTGAATGTAAGTGGAAGAATCTAACAATCTGTACATGAACATCCCATCTGCCTTAGCATTGGCATATCTATCCATACACATACAAAAAAAACACACACACACACACACACACACACACACACACACACACACACACACCGGGTTTGAGCATTATCAATCCATGCAGAAAAACTTCCACACACCCCGATGCACACTAATCATTATGGTCACACATGTCACTGAACCAATAGCATGCACAAATGATACCGACGTACTTATAAAAACATTAGTCTAAGGAAGCATGTCATTTTACATGTCAAGCTTCATGCATAAAAGATCAGGTATATACATGTGTCAATGTATTCTGTGTGGGGGAATGCAGTAGCCTATGCAAATGGAGCATATGTTATATTCATTAGTGTAGCCATTGTTTCCAGTGTGTTTAAGGAGACAATTATACATTATGTGGGATGACAGCGTTGAAAGAAGATAGGTCTGCATGTCTTTAAATATCACATGCATCTGTCTTCTAATGAAATGTTCCATCTATAGTTAAAGTTCGTCACACAGAGTTTGAAACAAGTGAAGGTTTCTTTTCAAAATGAGTTTGAAACAAGGTTCTATAATCTCATTGTTTTCTGAAACACGATCACTTAAACATCATTTATAAAGACGTGTTTATTGCAGAAGCTTTTGTAGTCCTTATTATAGCAACATGCTGCACGTCAGCAACTTTAAGTGTGAAATGTCATTTGTTGAGCTTACATAAATATTCATCTCCTGAGAATCTGTGCAATCCGATGTAAACATAGTTGGCTCAGCATGCAGCACGCAGCGCATAGCCTGTAAGTTTAGTAGTCTGAAGGTTGAACGTTAGATGACCACAGAATACAATGAAGGATACAGACAAGTGAATGTTATTAAAGTTAAGCCAATAGATTTCCTGAAACATAAGACACAATCTATGAAAACATGTAGCTTATCCTTAAAACTAAATTACCTTCCTGAAGCCCGACATGAGACTGTTTTCTTGGAAAATGTTTCAACTGAATACAATATTGAATATTGGAGACACAATCTCCATACTGTAAATGATAATGTATCAGATGTTTGAGGTGAAAGTGGAATATTATTGATCTGTCTATGGCTGAAATTTAATTTTGAAACAATACCTCAACAAGCATTGAGTTCTCTTCCTATACGGGTCGTTCATTTGTGATGGTCCAAGATCTTCTCTCAATAAACCAACACTCCTACTAATTGATGTTATAAGCTATCCAGTGTAAACTGACACCGAACTCCATCCATATCTATGTTCATACATTAATAACGTTATCATCTGATTAAAATGAAAAAATCCACGTTATTATTATATCTGGTTTCATTTTTAGTCTATTATTTCTTCAACATGAACTCCCCTCCTTTAAACATCCCTTCCTTCGTGACACACAGAGCGAAGAATGATTAAAGCTCTTGTGTGAGCTTCTTTCTTTGCAGATTTCTGTTGTGAGAAAGGACACTCGTTTTTTTCCCCTCTTACACTTTTTTTTTAAATGCTAGAAATCACTGCTCTAGCAAGAAGCAGATTAGTCCACTTGAGCATGAACAGTCAACTCTACAGCTGACAGGGAAAAAGTTAAAACATACTTCAATGTCAACAGAGAGTTTAATCCACTGATGCAGACTTTGTGCTACAGCTGAAAGCTGAATGAAGGAGCCATTAGTCCGTATTTGCGCGTAACAATTTTACTGTTTTAATGGAAAATATAAACACCCTGAGCTCAATGTCAACAGGGAAAACCAATTGAATGACAAGGACCATGTGATACAACTCACTGCTATAGAAAAAGCAAATGAGATATTGGTTGATGTTGATCGATGTGTCTATGGTCAAGATCCATATTTTAAGGTTGATGCTTGATGTTCGCCATGTGTCAGATGTGAAATGAGCTTTAACTGACTGGTCAGCACAGCTGGCAGAATTTAAAAAAAAAGAAAACCTACAAGTCCACCTGAGCATCTTTGACATCTTATCCTAATCTAAATTCACATCAACTCATAATCTGAACAGTGTTAGTATGAGTCTCATATGGGGCAACTGTTTTGAAGTTAGGCATGTGTTATTATAACTCAGATTGAGCTTACCTGTATTCCTTTAAAACTTAAGGCTTTTCACAAGTGTGTGTCTGTGTGACTTACCAACATGGCCATGGTGACAGCCTCCCAGTTAGAGTTGGATGCAGGCAAAGAGGACTCATACTGCAGGAACAGAGAGCACAGATAGCCAATCATTAATTCATTAATTAAGCAGACAACTTTGCACAATAAACCATACTGAAACAGAAGATGTGTATGAATGAAAAGGAATTAGATTCTTTATATTGGCGTATAGTACCTTAAAAAGTAAAGTATCTTCAATTTTAAAACTAAATACATCTGTGTTTGACCTACAACACGGAGAGCTCTTGTGAATCAGGTATGTGTATAAACTTGGTGAACGTTGAGTGTCTCGGTTGTGTTCAATTGAAAGGTGACATATTTCTACATTTGCTCACGCTCTGTAAAAGATGATAAATACGGCATGCGTGGGGTTAAGAGAAGATCTTCATCGTCTTAAAATAAAGGCAAATGCTTAGGCACAATTCACTAATATATTGCAGGTTTGCACAAGATGAGACACAATACCTGTGTTTCAAACACACATCACTCCTGAATCAAAAAAGGAACAACAAAAAAATACTTCTTTTTTTTTTACCACTAAATTGGCACCAAAGAATCTGAAGGTAGCTCATCCATCCAATAGGTTAAATGTACACACACTAGTACTGCAAATAAACAATATTCTAAATGTTCATTCTGCTATAGTAATTAAATTATGATTTATGTGCTGTCTTAGTCCACTTCCTTTTTTTCCTTAACACTCCTAATATCTTCACATTTAAATTAAAGTTATTCAACATATTGAGGTGTCTACCTTTCTAGCTGATCGGCTGTCGACATGTCATGAAAATCCTACAAGAATTGCAGTGAAGCTGCTCACAGCATGCCTTTACACGTGTGTGTGTGTGTGTGTGTGTGTGTGTGTGTGTGTGTGTGTGTGTGTGTGTGTGTGTGTGTGTGCATGTGTGTGCGTGTGTGCGTGTGTGCATGTGTGTGTGTGTGTGTGTGTGTGTGTGAGGTATCAGACTCTGGTCAAAGCATGTTTAGGGGATAAAGACTCATCAGACTGACATATTTGGCACACATGCACACATTCTTTGTCTCTCTCTCTCTATCTGTCTCACCCATAAATGTTCACACACTTTCTTGGGCATTACCCTCTTTACCACACATGCACAAAATCCCCCTGGCTATTGAATCTCTCTCCTTCTCTCCGTCTTAAATACCATCACCGGTCAATATGGAACAGTTAATCTTTCTCAACCACACTTCAAAGACACGGTGTGCTCACTATGTCTCAGCGTGTGTGTAAGTTTGTGCCTGCAAATGTGATGGCTTTGACATCAAAGTCAGTAAGTGTGCAAAGGTTTTTGTTTAACAGATTCTTGCATGTGGCCTTAGGGTGAAAGCACTGTTACACATTAGCACCCAAACCAGCTGTGAATGAGGTCAGAAGGTTTCCTGTAAGAGTGTATATGTGTGTGAATTGGTAAATGCATGTTTACAGATTCCCTGCCTCATTTCCTTTTAAGGTAAAAAATATTCATGTCAAGAACATCTGGGCCACGTAATAGTATTGGAAAAAAGCTGAAGAGACAAGGATCAGATCATGTCTGAAGGATTGAAAACCTCTGAGCATGAAGACTTGTCGTCACTCTTTTCATTCTTATCTCACAATTGTGTGCCAGATTTTTGTGGATCAGCTTCTTCATAAAATGTTTTTGTTGAATAGAAACTTGACTCAGCAGGGAGCAGATTTGACCTTAATGCAGGTCTTTGATTCAAACTGATCTAAAACTATGTTCACCTTAATGGTATTGTCTTTGGGTTTTCCTATTCTGACAAAAAATGACACGTTCAAGTTTTAGTTCTAGAGCATGTGGTGTCCACACCTTCCTTTTAAAATAAATAAAAATAATTCTACTTATCTTTTTAATCATCTGGCATCTGCCTGTACAGGAAGTTTTGCTCGATGATAACAAGTCAAGCTGCAAAGCGTGCACCAATCAACTCCTTAACAGGTTATGGTGAGACAAAAAAATGTCTCTGTAAATCATTTTAAAACACATGAAACTTTTAAACTATGAAGCAATATGTTCCATAAAAGCTGAAGATAAAACTTCAGACAATATCACTATGATCCCAAGTGAGGAAAAAGAAAACCTATTTACTGTAGCTGTCCAGTGGAAGGGAACGCGAGGGAGTCGGCCTTTTTGACCTCCATTTTGTACAGTTGGACACTAGAGCAGTTGAAGATTAAGTGTGCTGCAGAGGCTGAGGAAGGCCAGAGAAGATCCCTGTCCAATGTTATGCCATATAACCAGTTTTCTCACTTTCAGCCAGAAGACCTTTGACTTTTTTAGATGCATCACAAAGGCCACATTCATGCTTCCTCATCTGTCTCATTTTCAAGTTAAAGCAGGGAAAGGCTCCTTATACTGCTGCACAGTGATTTGTTTTTGTCATTTACAGGGATACTTTCATCATAATCCGCAGTTTGTTCATGTCTACGTATTAAACTTTACTGTCTTTGAGTCTCCTTGAGTAACATGTAGAGTGGAGCCACATGGAGGACATAATGAAGGAAATACAACTTTTGATTATTACTCAATCTCTCTCAAATGTGCAGGATGTTTTTACTGAGAGTCTAGCAGCAACAGAAAATGAAAATTATTTTTTTAGACAAAGTGAAACAATGTTTATGAAAGCACATGGTTGCTGCTGTCAAGCATAATCACACGCACATTGACGTAAACATGAATGTGTTGTTGATTTCGTTCTCTATCATTCCAAGGAAATTCCATGAGACTTCATGTCTGGGAATCACACATGAATGATGACTCAGAATGGGATTCTGGGAACTAACCCGGATCATCTTACCTAATCAATAGTACTTCCCTGAAGTAGTTAGCATAGCAACACTCAAATACAATGCTGCTACTTTGATGTTGAAAACAACCAAAGATCCATAGGGTTTTGTGGTCTCACAATGATAAATGTTCTGCTTCTGTTCAAACAGGGCTGATTTGTGCACTCAAAGTGTTTTCATTTTTTTTTTTTTTTTTTTAGCATTTATAACCAAACAGATCCTAAAGTGTTAATCTTGTGCAATCAAAGGCACTCATTACTTCATGTAAGCATGCACTGCAGATGACAATTCTCACCCGCTGAAAACAAGATTTAAAAAGGATCAAAGAATTGTGATTTTGGAGGGAAAACAGTGACATGAATAATGAGTAAGGTCTCTGTTTGACTGGAGTGCTGCCTGCAGATACTTGGCATTTGTTTATTTGCAGGAGGGAGCAGTTCTATTTTGATATGAGAGCTTAAGGTCATTTTAGGTCCCAATCCATTAAAATGGACTCAAAGTTGTTCTTTTCTTGAATGAAACAGACTTTCATTGAGCTAAGACCTAATATGAATGTGGTCAACTTTTTTCAAATATCTCATATATAAATAAAAAAACCCAGATATTTTTAAATGCACTTTTGACTATGCTAAGCTACATTAAATACTGTATGCCTTACCATAACCCAAATGGTAAATCTGACTGCAATCTGTCTTGACATCTCCATCACAGATAGCAGTGTTGAAGATTCTGCTGTTTGATAAAAATCCTTAAGCCATTATCTATAATAACCACCATTGCGCAGAAGCGAACACATCACACATAATTAGCACTGATGCTTGGCACATGCCTGACGCCTGTCTTCTCAGTGATTACTGACATTGCTCCCTCATCCATATCAATCAAAGCTCTCTCAGCCATTCATGGTTGACTTGGCTGGGCATTACATAAATGCCATAAGTCATCATGTCTTATTATGTTATTTTTTTAATATGTTAGAGATGCCTTCCATTGATGTTTACTGAGAGAGAAAGAGAAGGCAGGTTTGAATGTTACATTGGATGCCCTTATGACATGGGAAAAGATCAAGGTGGCTAATCCACAAGCTGTTAACAGCTGTAGTTGCACTTGGGAGGAGCTAAGGCGTTTCTGAGAATGACAGCAACATCTACACCTTTCCAACCTCCAATAACAATAACACAGCTATGAGATTAAGTAAAACTGAACTGAATGAACTAGAGTGATACCTGGTAGGCATCTACCAACACCGACTTGTCACTTAAATTGACCACACCCTAAATATACATGACTTAGAGGCTCTAAATAGCATTAAACAGTGAGTTATATAAAAATCAACCCCCTTGTAGTTGTAAATAATAGGAAAAAATGTCTATACATAGCAAACTGTGCTTTGTACCAGGCTGTAAACAAGTTAAAGCTGATAAATTGGGCATTTTAAATTGGGGTGATTGGGATTGGCTCTCCTCACGTGGCCACTTGAGGGTCAGTCGTTGGCACTTCTCCATTGGTTTTACAGTATTTCTCAGCTCTGGAGTATACTGCTTTTTAAAAACAGGCTTTAAGATTAGCAGCAGCAGCGATGGGAATATTGTGTTGGTCTTTTGTTAATATTCACTCTGTTACCTTTCTACCTCCATCTGGCTTCACTCTAAATTTTCTCTCTCTCACACTGATATTGTTACTTTAACCAATGTTTTTTTTTTTTTTCATTTAGTCCACCTTAGACTACTTTCACTACCTCACAAATGCCTCTCTCTGCCTCTGCCTCTTTCCATTCAGGTTGTTTTAGTCATTAGCTGACACGCTGATAACATCTCAAGACACCTGTTCTCTTTTTCCAATGCTGCATCATCTCGCTCTTTCGCTCTGCCTCTCTCTTCCTCCGTCCCTCTCTCTGCCTCCTCTCCTCCTCCCTCTTATCTGCTCGACAGGTCTGGAGAGAACAAATTAGACCTGCTAAATTAAGCCGCACACACAGCTCCTGTCTAGCTGGGGGGGAAGCTGCATGAGCGCCTTGTGAGTGTGTGTGTGTGTATTTTTGTGTGCAAAATGCGAAGACAAAAACACACTCAGACACAAGTTCTTTGAAAAATGGGTAAAATGGATCAAATAAGATAAGCCCCAAGAGCTAGATTCTGTTTAAAATGTACAGATAAGGTGTGATTATTTGACCAGAGGAGAAATAACAAAGGAGGAAGAGGAGAGAAAATTAGAGAGTCTGAAAGAGAGAGATAAGGGAGTTATATTTTAAGGTACTTTCACTTTGTTGTACTGTATATTTGTTGAGGTTATTAAAGGCTGGCTAGAAAACACTAACACAAAGTTTGTAGCTTTTGTTTTCCTTATTTTTTTTTAAATCGCATTACGTGTTTTGACTGCTTGTTGCTGTAGCAACACCTGTATCTTGATTTTATCCAACTCTAAAAGGCTAGAGACACCAATCCAATCCCTGTGTAAATGAATTGATTTGGATTTGAATAGTGTTTTCAGTTTTCTTACTTCTCAAAGCTCTTTTATACTACATGTCACTTTCACCCAGATGACAGAGGCTGCTTCATAAACTTAATAAGAAAAGCAAGCAGTACAGTAGGAGTAAATCAGGGTTCAGTGTCTTGCCCAAGGACCCTTCAACATGTCACTGTAGGAGTTGGCGATCAAACGCCCGACCTTCTGTTTGCGCCAATTGGAAGCAGTTTGTAACCATACATTTTTTGAAAACTTCTGCTCTTAGTTGTTGGACTTTGATTTGTCAAGCACCTCACATTTGCTGAGATGAATGGAAAACATGATGTTAAACTATCTTTCTATACCTATCTTACCTAACCTATACCTAACTATCTTTCTATACCGTCAAATCACCTCCAACATACCATGTTGGTACGGTTACTAATTTCTTCGTAGCAGTAGTTTTTCCAAAGAAGAAGGGAAAGTGTTTCAAGGAGTGTTTTTAAATTCCAATGACACGCTCATTGTAACTGTAGTTTATTAGCAATCATACTAAAAAGAGATGTGTCCCAAACAATGCACTTCTTATAATAAATGACAAAGCTAGCCCGAAACTACAGAATCCAGCTGTTTAAGATGACCTTGATATGATCTAAATGAAAATGAAGCACATTAAAGCTTTAATGCCACGGACATGATTGGTAAGTAAGAAAGACTTTCCATAACCGTGATTGCTTTTGAGATAAAGAAACATAGAAGTACTACAGCACTGAAGGGGTAAAAAAAAAACTTTTTTCCTGGAAGATTTCAGTACCATGACATGTGCTTCTGCTGGTGATGTGCGAGAGCTTTTAGTTCAAATTGTGATGAGAGCAGGGTAAATGTTTTCACGGGAGCTGTAATGTCAAAATGACAGTATAAAGCAAGGTGTCGCCTGCAAATTCACTATCTCTCTCATCCTCTTTTCTGCCCCTCCATGTGCTCTTATCACTTTCTCTCTCTCTCTTTTTCTCAGATAATAAGCAATGCCACCAGTTCAACTGTGTGTCTGTGACGCTGTGTCTCTTCCACTCTTTCTCCTGGGCACTCATAAAAGATCAGGCAGTGGAACATCTTTAAATGCCTCTCTGTCTCTCCCCTGCTCTGTCTCTTCCCCCCTCTTATTATAGGGTGGGAGAACATCTTCAAATCAGGGTCCCTCTCTTTCCTCTTCCTGACAGAATGACAAAGCTAATCTCCTTATCTGTTCCTTTGACAGCCTTTAAGAGACCCCTTTCTCATCCGCTATCCCTTCTGCCCCCATAAATATGTCTTCCCTCTACAGTTGAGTGGACGGGAGAGAAAGAACACTTGGGTGATATATTTCCACATTTCACCACCAGTGTAACAAGATCTTACCTCTCACCATTCTCACATCATCTCCCATAGTTTTCTCCACCCTCATGATCCCATGTCTTCCTTTTATGGCCAAGTAGACGAACAAGAGTGAAGAAGCGTTTTACCTAAGCCCAATGTTACAAAACATAAAAAACACACTGAGCTATGTCCCCCCAAAAAATCTGCTCACTGTTCTTCCTCAGCTGTGTGTGTGTGTGTGTGTGTGTGTGTGTGTGTGTGTGTGTGTGTGTGTGTGTGTGTGTGTGTGTGTGTTTTAGTGTGAGTGTGTCTGAGTGAAATTCTCACCTGCAGTGAATAGTAGACTTTGAATCCCGGCTTTGCAACAAAGTAGTCATTAGACTTGAAGGTGACTCTGAGCGTATTGGTTTTGGAGTTAAGACTGGGCGGCGCCTTCTGCCCACACCAGCGACCCCAAATTATAGTGCTGGTCTCTGATTGGTCCTCCACTTCCACAAAGTCATACCTGTAGTGTGAAAGGGAGAGGTAGAAAAAGAGTAAGGATACAAACCTTGTAAAAAAAAAAAAAAAAAGGTTTTATAGATGTTGTTTGAAAAGATGGTATTGTTGGCCTGTCACTACAAATCAAAGACAGAACATTTAGACGTTGTTCGATCTTATTTTGGTTGTTTTCTTCTTTTGGTAATCACAATTCAGACTGTTTAATTTTACAAATCTAGGAGCTAAGTGACATCACGTAAAACAATAAAGAAACCAATAGGACAGCTTTGACCTATTATACTTACAGTAAAAGATGGATTATGACAGGCACATTTGTATTTCTAAATGAGAGTCAAATGCAGCTTACTGATAGTTGTGAATTGATTTTAGTATAATGTAACTCTTGTCAGGGGATCTCACAAGTCTTTATGAATAAGTCAAACTTTTCTAAAAACCTGTGTAATAATATCACCAGACCCCTGTAGTATGCCTGCCTTATCTGATGATTGGTTATTGCACTGTTCTCAGATCTTAATGACTACTTCCGTGAGCACTGTGTTTCTATAACCAATAAAAGGATCACATCACAAAAAGTCTCAAATCACTTCACCGGCCTGTCATAGTGCTTGAAAAGTACAGAAAAATGTTTTGGATACTTTGGGTGACTTCATCAATCCATGCCAAAGTCAACTTCCATTAGAGTCCACCAATCAAGTACATACAAAACTGATTTGAAAAACAGGACAAAGCTACTTTCTCCTTCTCCCTACCTCACAAATCTTTTCTCTCCCCCCCTCCATTCTGTTCCCCATTGTCTTTTCAGCAAAGTGCTTACAAAGCTGACAAAGTTACATGTGGGGATTAAAAAGTCGGCTACTCAACCCTCAAGGACAAGCTTCTTATGATTCTTGCCAAAGAAGTAAACTTCAACAAGCAGTCTCTCTCCACCCCCTAAACATTTTGTATAATTATCTCAACTCTTCTTTAAATTAGAGTTTATTGTTTGTGGATTAATATGTACATTAAGAAATGTTTCCCCCCTTTTTAATGCAGCTCATATTTGTCCTTTCAACTTTGACCTCTCGTCAACAAAGTTGTTTTTCTCCTTTTTGTCCTTCCAATCAGTTCTTCTCTCACAGCCTCACTTTACTTACTTTCATTTGACCTTTTCCTTGTTACAGCTGCTTGCATATCATTTATTATGTTTTTCACTCCTTAAGTCAGACATTTTATACCATCATACTGACTTGTCTTCATATTTTTGCTCTAATCCTCTCGTCTCCATTCTATCTTTGTGCCCCTCCAATGGTTATTATTTTAATCTTTTCAAAGATTTACCTGCAGATTCCATTCTCATCCTCCTCCAGGCCAAAGTGTCCATCAAACTCCAGGTGTATGCGGCTCCCTGGTGGCGACAGCAGTTTCCATGACAGCAGCAGATTGCGGGGGTAAGCGTTGGGGTAGCGTGGGCTTTGGATGACTCCACCCGATGGTGTGACTGTGATGTTTTCCTCTTTGCGGTACAAGTCTGTGGTGAGGCGATTGCTGTCTGTTAGTGGTTACAACTAATCAGTTAGTTAGTCCAGTTGTAAATAAACAAGCAAAGCAGCTTTTTTTCATATAGACACTTAAACATTTAAAGACGCTGGCACAGATTGAAGACGTAAAACAAACACTAACAATACAGACATAAATGCGACATATCAGTCTAACGAGATGCACAGCAAATTCTGTTGTACTATGTGCAATGGCAATAAAGGTATTTTATTCTATTAATGGAGTGGTTTTTAAGGAAAACAGTGAGTCACATTCTTTCTAATTTTCAAATGAATATGAAACAAGCTTGACATTTGGTGGAAAAAATTCAGAGGTCAACAAAAGTATGCTGTGCGACTGTTATGAAAAACAACAATTTAATATATGCAGAAAAGGGCCATGGACCAACCTGTTGGTCAAGATAAATAAGGAATTCCCTAAATATATTAGGACAGGGAATGTCTCCAAAAAAGATTTTGATGACAATACTGTCTTTCCTAGGCTAGCGATGGATATATACTTCCCTACACAGGTAATATAATGTATATGTTTAATACACTATGGCATATATAACATGTTGGGTACCACAACTGTATTTAAAAATCATTTGAAGTCATTGGAAAAACTGCCTTTCCAGTGAATGTAATTACATCGCTGTGCCAAAACATGAGACATGTATTAATGTCTCAGTGCTCAAGCTATTTCGCTACCTTACCACAAACACATAGTCAAAAGAATACACACACACTTCATCATAACACATCAACCCTTTCATATCTCCCAAAAAAGAAAATGAGAATGACGAATTTGGTAACTGTCATGAGCTCTGCTTATTAGCTGTGCAGACTTCTTCTAATGTGATTTCAAAAGTCTTCTTTGAAGTCAAATAACTGCTCATCAGTACTGATCAACATCATGATCACACCCGTCCGAATATCTAATCCTGATTATCAAATGCATTCATAAACCTGATTGTGATATGACACAACAAAACTCATTAATTGTTACAATCATCTAATTGCTGACTCCATAAAAATTAGAAGGAAAGAAATCCTTACACATACTAAGAAACACACACACACACACGCTCTCTCTCTGAGGTCAGGGTGTGTGCTGGTGTAGGCTGACAGGGCTGTATTTTCTGAGGGGTGCATGTTTTTTTTTTTTTGCAAGAATGAGAGGGCTGAATGCATAATCGAAGCATCTCAGTATGCACCCCTGGGAGATGATGATGAAGCTTTGGCCTTCTCCTCCTCCTCTTCACTGCAAACTTGCCTCTTTTCCTCTCTCCTCATTCCCTTTATCCTCTCTTTACCTTGCTCTTCTTTGCTTCAGTCAGTAATTCTGTCACATCGGTCATTCTGCATTCTTCAGCAGTCACAGCCACTGCCAAATCTGGCTCTGGTAATTAACACTGTACCTACGGCAAATGTGTGTATGTGTAAATGCATTTGTATGTGACAGTGTATACTTTCAGTTATGAGCATTTATGCTTGCATAAATGTGTGTGTGCGTCGTGAGAGTGTGTGGGTTGCTGGGTGGTTTTGTGTGTGTGTATCTGTGAGTTTGTTAGTAAAGGAATTATTCCACTCTGCTGATCAGAAGCTCCTCTGTGTGTGTCCATTCACTCATAAAAGTGCTTATGTGTCAGGAACTTTCACCCACTAAGGCCACTGAGGAACAGGGTACATAGTGTGTATGTACGTGCAACCGTGAGCAGTCACATATATTCACTAGGGAGTTTGGGTTCATGACTGTGTGGCAATTGTCACGTCCTGCATATGGAGTGCCAATCTATAGTTTCTCACATCCAAGATTGCACTTAATATTTTTAGTTGTAATATTTTTAGTAAAAAATAAAAACCCAGTCATTATAATCAAACTTTATAATTGTAGGCTACGATATCAAACTGTTTTTACTCTCTCATCAGAAGGGAGAGTCCAAGAATATGTCACAAATATCCAAAAAGCTTTCTTCTCTGATCTCTGATTTACATGTGAGTAGATGACAGATGATTGTATAATGTTCACATAGGTCCCCGACCTAGGGCATACCATGTTTGAGGGAACTATCTTAATTTTCAAGCAAACTTCAACTTTGCAGCCATACTTGTCATTATTTTGAATATGTTGTAATTTTATCTAAAACTCATTAACTCGTTTAGGAAAGACGCACAACAGGCATCTTGTGCATTTTTAAATCCCAGTGAAAGGATGCTATCCAAAATATTCTGGCTTTGGTTGCTAACTTGCTGCTGGCTTCTAGCATCAAATCTTTATGAGGTTTCTGCCACTGTTTCTTTGCTAAATGTTGCTTAGTGCTGTGCTCATGGTGAGTTATTGTTTGGTCTGTGTGAATGGTATAATGCGTCGAGAGCTGCGAACGAGTTTTCTGTTTCAGATCTAGAGAATAGACGGAACTAGAGACTGGCAGCGACATTTCTTCTGCCTGATGTACAAATGAGTGTTAGGCTATGATTTTGGACACAGAGAGAGTTGAGAGAATCCTACACATACATCAGGGGTACAGTTTTATAGGCAGTGCAGTCTCAGAAACTCAGTGAGTCATTTTTGTGTTCTTATAGATCTGCAGTACAATGGACTTCAAAGAAAACTGTGGCCATGCTGACCTTTTGCCTTAATATTTTATTCAGGGGTTTCACATTTGTATTAGGAAATTAATGCAGGACTCAGACTTTCTTATGCACATTATTTAAGTATATAACAGTAAGATTGCTAGCTTCTACATCAACGACTGAACAAAATATTTAAAAAATTGAATAAAGGAACGATGTATAGTTTTTCTTTTACAAGATCCTACACTTGTTTATTTTATATTGATGTAAAGTCAGCACATCAACAACTCTGCAGAGTCAGCACTTTATCCCCACATCCAATTAGCTAAGCTACAAGGCCAAACTATGTATATTTATTTATATATAAAAAGGAATGTGTCACCATCCAAACTATATCAGGGCAGGATGGGCACTGGATGATTGAAATATGTGAAATTAGAAGAGGCTGTTATTACTTGGCTTAACCATGCATGTCAGGACATTTTCTGCCAGTAAATCCCCTCCACACTGTCCTGTATGTGGTGCCAATAAAAGTTCCAGTTTAATTTGTTCCTCTGTTCACTTTTTCCTCTCTTCTCCTCATTCACACCACCAGGAAGTCTTGTCAGTGACAAGCAAAAAATGACTTCAAGGAAATTGCAAAAAGTTTCTCTATATCCTGATCTGTAAAAGTAAATCTATCTTCTAATATCTTGGGTGTATGTGTTACGATAGGAAATGAATGCTCTCTGAAGATGGGGAATTATTGAAGGATAAAAAATGATAATCAGAGTTTTATAATGTATCTAGTATTTGATCCAAGTTATACCTTATCATTAAAATTAGGCTAATCCAATTTACAGATTCTGCATAAAAACAAAATAAAACCTGGATATGACTGGATTTTAGTATTGGTAGGTGTTGTATCGTCCTCTAACATTTTAGTAAGCATTGGCTGTTTCAGGAAAACTGTCCATGTGGAGAGCAGAGGGGTCTGATGCAATCCCCCCAGCACAATCCAAGAATCCATTGCAGTTATCCGACTGGTTTAGCTTTAATTAATGTCTTTAATCAAATATCTGCATGCAAGTTCAGCTAACACTCTATTACTTGATGTTGTGTCTCAACACCAAACTCCATTCTTTCTTCCCAAGTTGCCAGTCGGGCTGTAAACTATGGCAACAGACTGAAGAGAGCCAAAAATATTTGAACTTCAACTGCTGGCAACACCAGAGCCCCAGAAAGTTGGCCACTGTTCCCAGTAGCACATTAAAAAAATATCAGCGAAATTAAAAACATATGGATGGTGTACAGAGACTTTAAGTAGAAAACTTTATTGTCGTTGGGATTGATGGTTTTTCTTATGCCACGTCCACCTAAGCAATTAATAATAGTTTAGATTCATATTTGGACTTTTTGTGCCTTTATTGGAGGGATAGGACTTTGGATGGAGTCGGAAATCAGGGAGAGAGAGAGAGAGAGAGAGAGAGAGTGGGGAATGACATGCGAGGAAAGGAGCCACAGGTCGGATTTGAACCCTGGCCACCAGTTTGGAGGAACATAGCCTTTGTACTTAGGGGGCACACACACACTAACCACTACGCCACTGGCTTGGGGAGCCAGTAACAATAGTAAGGAATCTTGGGAAAAATAGGTGGTCAATTAAAGATGGCAGGTATCTCTAAAATTAGTATTTACTCCATAATACTAAGCAAAAAAGGCTCATGATTCTCATCAAAGCCACAAAACCACAGAATCTGTCTCATTATCTCGTGTGTTTTATCAGAACTGTGCTGAAAACCACTTACACACATCTCTTTTGATCTTGACAGAAAATTAAAGTTCTGCAATCTCAGGAAGTAAGATCATGTCAAAACTGCTGATAATATCAGTGACAGCCTGACTCATCTCATAGTACACACACACACACACTCACACACACACACACACACACACACACACAACTTCACACACACACACACACACACACACAACTTCACACACACACAAACACACACACACACACACACACACACACACACACACACACACACACACACACACACACACACACACACACACTCACATACGTAGAGTACACGTAATGTCTGACACTCACAATTAAGCCTTCAGCCCCCTGATCTGACACCTAAATAACCGTGACAATGATGCTGTGTGACGTGTGTGTGTGTGTGTGTGTGTGTGTGTGTGTGAAGTTGTGTGTGTGTGTGTGTTTTGTGCGTGGGACCTGCTGAAGTGTGCTTGTGGATATGCCAGGAAAAAAAGTTCATGATTGTATGTGTGTATTCGAATGAATGCACGTCTTCTGGGATGTATGTGGGAAAATTCTCGCTAATTAAACTTGGCTCTCCCACCTCCAGTGCCAGGGTGTGATGTTCTTCATGGCTCTGGGATCTATTTCTGATCCAAGTGCCAATCACACCCTGATCAGCCTGCA